CGCCGAGGTGAGGCGGCGCGGCGGGAAGTGGACGTCGCTTGGAGGACGAGGATGCTTCGGCTTGAAGATGGATCGCATCGGCGCCGTCAGCGGACTTGGATGCTAAACTCTGACATGCTACCTCTGACCCCTGGCAAAGGCTGCTAGACGACTGTGTGTGTGTGTGCGCGTGTGTAACAAGACAAGCATGTGTTAAACATGTGCATTTGCGTGTTGACAAGTTGTACCATGACAACATTCCATCACTGAATGTATGTGTGCGAACCCGAATTAAAGAGAAAGTTAATTTGTTGTTTGTTCATTCAATTTATCCAGCCATCTATCCATTTTCAAGAGCTCCTTTTCTTTCCCTGGCCTTGAGACCTGGGTCAATTTTGATGATGCCATTTATCCATTTTTTTTTTTTCAAATATGTCCTCATAAGGGTAAATTTCCACCTCCAAGAAACCGGTGCATACCAGTGTTGAAAAACAACCTCCACTATCTCCAACCGTGTCACATAGTTTAACCCATGAGTCCAATTTGCTGAAGCAATCCACTCATTTTCTTCAATGCTTGTCCTCAAAGTAAATTAAAACTTGGAATACCAGTTTTGGAAGTCAGCTTCTATTATATACCCCTCTGGAAATATGGTGTAACCCATAGATGGGCCACTGTGCTCAAATATTGTGTGAACAGAAGCCTGACATATTTTAATCATGAGCATTAACTTACCCAGAGATGGGTAGTACCATATATTTACTCAGTTACATTTACATAAGTGTTTTGGAGGGATGAATTACACTGGTCAACAGTAAATTTTCTCAGTCTCCTGGTGCATATTTGCAGTGCATTCTGGGAACCGAGTGGGTTTCATGTCATTATCATAGCTGTGAACAACCGAACATGAGATAGATATGACGCCCGTGACTCCAGCGATGTTAAAGCTCATGCAGGCAAAGTGTTGCCACATTCAATGTTTGTGGACGTCTCCAAAAACATATTCAAAAATCATTTTCCTGTAATGGTAGCACGTGCTTTGCCGTTGACAAGGAAGTAAGCTTCATGAAAATCAGTTGAGAAATAATCAAGCACGGACTTGTTTTCACTGCACATGCTTTGCGGTTTTGGCTGGCAACCAGTTCAGGGTGTACGCCGCCTATTGCCTCAAGACAGCTGGGATAGGCTCCACCATGACCGCCGCTCTCGTGAGGAGAAGCGTTTTGGATAATGGAGGGATGAACAAATGGAAAAGAAGTCATACAAAATTGACCTTAATATGCAATTTTAAGGAGAAACACTATTTTATGTATAAGTATTAATGGTATCGGTACTTGATATCGGTATCTGCGAATACTCAAGAATTGAGTATCCATACTGGTATCGGTCTGAAAAATAATGGTATCAAACATCCCTACTCTGTAACTTCCGGTAACAACCAGGGCTGAACTTTGCACCTCCCTGACATACAAAGTTTGTCCCTCAGTCGAGCTATGAATTCGATAGACTTCCTTGACACCAACTCCTGTGCTGTGGTGTACACTCATCAAATGTTACCTGCGTGCGGCTCCTCCACAGGCATGGAGGATGACGAGGATGAGGAAGGGGACAAGGGGGATGACGGGGAGGTGTCCATGGCGGCAGCCGAACATTGCGAGGGGGATGATGGGAGGCTGCTGGAGGAGCTGAGGCCTGCAGGGGGAGAGGCGGAGGCAAAGAGCGTTAATTAAGAGCTTAAGGGCGGCTCTCGCGGTAGCGGCGCGCGCGTCACCTGTGTCCGGGCTGGTCGAGACGGGCGAGGCGGTGGCATGCGTGTGCAGCTCCTCCAGAGCGGCGGCCAGACACGTGTGTCCTCGCGAGTGGGCCACGGCCAGAGGGAGGCGGCCCAGCGAGTCCGGGATGCCGAGAGCCACGGCGCTCCAGCCGTACAGGAGCTCCGCCGCCTTCCGGTGGCCCAGAGCGCACGCCCACATCTGAAAACGCAGGTAACCACGACGACGCAATGTTTTTGACCAGGAGTCTGATCGGAGCGCAGAAAACAGAGCGAGTCGTACCAGCGGCGTGCAGGAGAAGTGGTCCACGTTGAGAGGGTCAACTTCCTGTTCCAGGTCCAAACTGTCACAGTGTACGCGCCTACGAAACACGGCGGTGGGTTCACGTGCGGGCTTTAATCTAGCCAACTGAGCATTCACATTGCCGAGAGTCCTGCAACATTTGTTGCAATTTCATGATAAATCACAAGTGTCAAACTCAAGGCCCAGGGGCCAGATCCGGCCCGCCAGGTCATTTTATGTGGCCCGCGAAAGCAGATCATGTGCGTCAACTTGCTAAAATCTGGACCGAGACGTCAAATTGTCATGTGTACATCAACTTGCTGGATAAAGATGTCTGAATCTGGACCAAGATGTCAAATTGTCATGTGTAATAAATAATGAGATTTTGCGATAATTTTGTTACACTGTTTACACTCACTTGAACAATAATTGAACAAATTTATAATTGACTTGACTGATTTAAAAACTAGTAATCTATTAATTTGTTGTGTACAAGTAATCATTTTGTGGTTTCACTGTCATCACGGCGCTCTGGGGGAAGACGTAACTCCAAATTGGCCCGCGTCCGAAGTGAGTTTGACACCCTAGTTATAAAAACAAATATGCGAAATGAGAATGATTTCATGAGATTTTATAGCTGTCATTCTCAATTTCTCCGCCTCATTAAAAATGGTTGATTGCTTGAATCCAAGCACATTTCCAATGAAGTTGGGACATTGTGTTAAACGAGACATTTAAAAATGGATTCATGACGCGTGTCTGCATGTGTACCTCCAGGTGATCAGCGTGCGTATGAGGTGCGTGTAGCCCTGCGCGGCGGCCAGATGGAGCAGCGTCATCCCGCGGTGACGCGGCGAGTGCTGAAGCCGCTCGTCGTCGCCTCCGCTCCACCGCACGCCTCTCATCATCCTCTCGCACACGTGCACAATCCTCCTCTCGAACCACTGGGATGACTGACAACACAAACGCGCATGCGATGACAACGACAACGTTTCAGCCGTGGCTCGGGTCTCCTTACCTGCTCGTGGTCCTCGGGCGCATGCGGAGGAGGCGGTGGCGGCGCGATTGCGGCCATTTGGCCACCATGTTGCCGCCGCTGCTGTTGATGTTGCTGCTGCTGCTGTTGATGTCGCTGTGCGAGGTCGCGGGCCGCCATGGCGGCCATCCTGCGCTCCATCTGCTCTAGGCGTTCCAGGATGGACACCCTGAATTGATTGTCTGGTGGACAGGAAGACAAAAACAATACAGCGGTCGCATCATTTGATTAGAACAAAATAAAAAGGAATTTTTTTTTCTTTTTGTGTATAGTCAGTCTGAAAATGCAATTCAGGGTGGGGGAAAAATACGACTTGGAATTGACGTCAATGTCTGGGCTTGCCAGTTGTTGAACGGGAGTCATTTGTTAAAAAGGATCAACTTCACTTTTTTTTTTTACATCACAATATTTTTCTCTCCATAGGTTTGTTTGACATGACAGACTGATTCATATTCTTTGCATTATCTATATGTATATTCGTAATGGAACACAGACCATCCAATGAGAGCCAGTCGAGCTGTGAGCTGGGCAGCGAGCTGGCATTCCGGGCGCGGTACTCGAACAGAACCGACGACGACACGGAGCCCCCTGACTCCACAACCTGAAGACACACCAGACCGGCCTCGTGGGCTGCAGCGAGAAGAACAAATGATCTAGTTAGACATTTTTTGTGTGTGTGTGTGTGTGTGTGTGTATGTACCAGGGCAGTAGCAGCGCAGCACACCGGGCTGAATCAGTGAAGCCGGGACAGCACTCTGATCGAACACGCACGAGTATCGACCCGTCTGCTCACTCCACGGTCCTGTGATCAATACTTTCACCCCACCCTGCACAACACGCGCACAGTGGTATTCATGTCGCGATTTTCAGACGTTTGCACCTCAATTGGGAGCGCCAATGTACCTGGCAACTTTTTAACTTCTTCCCTTTTAAAGCAATATCTTTCAATGCCTTTTTAACTTTTACTGATGCAGAGTTTGTGGCGGAATTAAATCAACTCTGTGGGTCTATTCAAATACAGAGTTTGAGTACTTTTGCCACCTCCGCACAAGAGACAAGAGGAGGTCCATAAAAAGCAGTTGTGGTTGCGGGTTACCTCGGGATAGGACCACTCCGGCGAGAAGTCGGTGATGGAGGCGAGCGGCGACGAAGATGGTAGCGGGTGAGGAAAGGGCAGGAAGGAGGTGGAGGGGGAGGGCTGAGGGGGCACCATGTAGCGAATACCGGCCGAGAAGACGGCCGGACCGGGTGGCGCGTCGACGGGGACGGAGGGAGGCGGCGCCGACACGGGATTAGCCTCTACCGTGATGAGGTCAGAGATGAGGTCTGGGAACTGGCTGTCGAAAGAGATTTCGAGCTCCTCCGCTTCTTGCTGCGTGTCCATGGGAGGGGGGTCGGTGTCGGGGGGCGGGCCGTTGACCTGCTTCACCTGCAAAGCTGGTGACATCTGTATGGCGGTTTCCATGGTGATGTCTTGGTGGCTTGGGGAGGAGGGAGGGCTGGGCAGGTGACCATAGGGCTGCTCCTGCGATGCGGTGCCATTTCCTGGTGTCGACGACTGGCTGGGCTGTACCACACAGACATGTTGCCATGGCGATTACACAAAATGGACTCAAATCTGTACTAGTTCTGGGGCTGATATGTTTTGGAAATAAAATCAGATTTAAAATCCACTTTTTTTGCCCCTTTGCTTCTAGAAAAAGCAAATGAGAGTGACGCTATTTAGAACAAGTTTTGCTTCTTGTTTTGTTTGAGCCAAATGGCAACAGTGAATGCGAATTTGTCAACGTGTGCCTCCGTGTTTGCCTCCATGTCGCATGCGGAAGCGTTGAAAGAAAACTCGCCTGCAGCAGCTTTGTGGGAGGCGCCAAGATGTGAGCGTCATGTCCCTGCTCCTTCTCCTCGCAGTCGCCTCCCTCTGCCTCCGCGGGCACCCCCACAGCTCCCAGCTCCAGACAGAGCGGCAGGAGGGGCGGCGCCACCGAGGAAGTTGGTGACAAGAGGAAGGAGGGCGGAAGCGAGGCCGAGTCCTTCCTGTCCGTCTCGCAGGAGGACGACGAGAGCGACGAGGGAGGGGAGATGGACGAGGGCGGGGTGGATGTGGGGGAGAGCGCCAGGGAGGAGGGGGAGAGCGGCGAGGAGGAGGAGCAGATGATGGGAGGAACGGGCCCGCCGTACGTCTGGCCCTGCTTGGGAGAGTTCAGGAAGGAGTCTGGGTCAAACGCAGGGGGGAGGAACGGCGGGGGGAGAGAGGGTGAGGAGAAAGATAAGGGAGGGGAGGCGGAAGAGGAGGGAGTAAGGAGCAGGCCTCCTATGACAGGGGAAGGAAGGAGGGTGAGGGAGAGGGTGTGGCGCACTGGAGCGGGCAGGGAGGAAGTTGTGGGGGAGGGCGGGCAAGGTGAGGGGGGCTTGCCATGGGGAGGGATGGGAGGCGAGAGAAGTAACTGGTTGGAGCGGGTGAGCGCCAGGCTCTCCTTGGGGGGATCCTCGCCGCAGCCCCCAGAGATGGCTGTGGTGGTCGCCATGACGATGACGGCGTTGTGTGGCAGCGCCACGGTGGTTAGTGGCGGGGATGTGGTCGAGCTGCAAAAAAGCACAACATGGGGGCTCACGTTTACAAGAGCTTGGGATTTAGCATTGATTTTGATTCGAAAAAAGATCACAAAAAAAAAAAAAACAACAAAACTTGCCATTTCAAAAAAATAATTATTCAATTCGGAAAAAAAAAACTGCCAAATGAATGGATTAACCTCTCATATGAAATGACTCAACAATGGAGACAAAGAATATTTAATTATGATTACATTACTATTATTATACAATTATTTTGAAACAAATGAGTTGTGGGTGTTTTGGGGGGGCTGGAACAGATAAATTGCCTTTCCAATCATTTCATTGGGCAAAGAAAAATTGAGTGCACGCAATGAATGCAACTCGCACGGCAACATTTCAGTCAGGGCCCACTTACTTGGAGGTGAGGCCGGGAGAGGAGGAGGCGGGGCTGCCTTGAGCCTGGAGCTGGGGCAGTTTGGCGTCACCCCCGCCGCCCCCCAGTTCCCCCGTCTCTGAGGACAGCGGCGAGGATGACGTTGGGGGCAACTTGGGGGAGATGATCCGGTGCTTGGTGCTGTTGCAGCTGTGGGGAATGTTCCCTCCTGACACACACACACACACACACACACACACACACGCGCACACACATTATGTAAGAGTAACTGTGAACACATTTCCACTTCCCTGTCTTAACACTACAACACGGATTGAACATAATTTTTGGCGCTTGTTTTCGTGGATGAAGTTGCCTGCGATTGGCTGGCAACCGGTTCAGGGTGTCCCCTGCCTACTGCTCGAAGATAGATAGGATAGGCCCCAGCACCCCCCAGAACCCTTGCGAGGATAAAGTGGTTCGGAAAATGGATGGATGGATAAATTAAGGCATTAAATATGACGGGACTCTTTATCTCGTAAACATTGTGTTGTTGTGCCATATTTGGAGCCCATATTTATGATGTGACAGGGGGTGCGTTACCCTGGCTGCCATTGCAGAGGCAGGTGTGAGTGCGCGGCTGCGGTTTGGTTCTCTGGCGCTCCAGGATGAGCTGCACCAAATCCTCGATGCTGAAATCACCGCTCCCGCTGGAACACTTGATGCTGTGAACTGAAACACCCGCGCGCACACTTACACACCACATTGACGCGTATGGCGTGCGTGCGTGTGTGTGCGCGCGACAGTGTACGTCTTACACATGGGCTTGAGCTGACCCAGCAAGTCGTCACGGTTCCATTTCACGCTGTCGTGGCGAGTGGTCACAGCGCACAGCAGCGGACTGCATTTGCCAGAATCCTCCAAGGAGGGCACGTTCAGGTAATGGACGAGCACAATGTCTGGGTTCTTTTCAAATTAAAAACAGCACAACTTTATATTTGCGCGCGTGTGTGTGATCTGCAACCGGAATCCATTTGGTGTGCGCGTTTTAACACGTTTCAATGTGTTTGAAGTGTGTTTTTGTACGCGTCAATGTGTACGTTTACCTGCAGCAGCCAGTAGCACCGCCGGTGGAATGTTGGCACAATGGCGGAATGGACGTAGTTACCGTAGAGACACTGCAAGCAAAGTTAGCGTCACGCTCCACTGAGACCGAGATATTGGCGAGTGAGCTTCGGAGGGGGCGCCGCTGCTCACCTCCATTCCCTGCACCTTCAGCTTCATGTGATCCTCTCGGGTGTCCTTCCCATCCTTGCGTTTCTTCCAACAGTAGCCATCCTTCCTGTATTTGACCTTCTTTCTGTTGTAGAGGATGATGGTGCCATTCTTTGGCCTGAAATGGTTCGTGGTTAGCAGAGTTCAACATCTTGGTGTGTGCGCGTGCGTGCGTGTACCTTGTTTTCAGGGTGCAGGAGAGCCACTCGTCATGCTTATCAAAGCTTACCAGATAAGATGCAATCTCCTGCGCATACATACACACACAGACACAGGCTTCAGCATGAAAATGACATAAGCTCGCCTAGTTGTAAATTAAGATGCATTCCAGAACGCGGTGTGCGTTTTGAATGTTTTGCGAGTCATTACTTTGGCCTTCACATCCCAGCTTTGGGAATACGCAAGCAGGACATCGGTGCTTGTTAATTCTCTTCATTTTGTTGCATTTCAATGGTCTACATTACTTCCATTGCGTGTATGTGCACCTAGGAGTTTTGTTGTTCAATCAGGTTGCAGCTTCTGTGTTGCCATGTCAACCTAATTCGTTCAGAGCTTTTAAAGTCACTCGCGCTGGCCAATGCAATTGAAAGTATCGCACCAATGGGACTTTTCTTTCACTCATGACTTTCAAATTCACATAATAGCGTTGGCATTTTCTCTCACAACAGACTCTACACAACAGTCCATTTGTAAATCCAAATTTCCGCAAGTCGAAACTTCGTTAGGAGGGTGGCATCCGTGGTCATTAACTTTGAGCATGCACAAACTGACCTCGTTAGTGTTCCATCTCAGACGCTCGTTGGGCAGACAGGACGAGCGAGGGAGGCATTCCAGCAGCTTGTTTCTCTGTCCTTTACTCTCTGTCATAGACACAGACAATCCATCAAAGATGAATATTCCCGTGCAGAGGGTTACCGTAGCAACAGAGATGACACTGACCAGTGTGACCTATGGAAACCATCTCCTTGTTGCTCATGGCGACGAGTCCATGCAGGGTGGTCTCACACGACGCAGACGCACAGCCACCTACACAGACCCACTATATACACACACACACACACACACACACACACACACAGGGGCTGATCTCACCGCGGCCAACTATGGGAAAACACAGTTCCTTGTTGCTTAGCAACCACCGTAAAAGGGAGCTCTTGCTTACGGAGGCCTAAATCAGACCGGGCACTTGCCTAGCTGCTTCCTCGACTCCCGGTGCATCTCTGCCGGCTACAAGCTGTGCCACTCCCGGAGGCGAACTTTTGTTTTGCTTTTTCAACTATTTCAATACGTATTATATCTTCCATAACACGCACAACTAAACAAACACGCGTTGATCCGTGTCAAAGTGCTCAAGTGGGAATTTATCTTTCGCTGCTCAGATAGCCCGGCTGTGCTAGTCATGCTAACACTAATTTGACGTCATCGGAAAAAGCCGAGCGGGACTTTACCTCCTAGTGTGGGGGGGGGCAGCCGT